CTATCACACCGTCATACTATCACACCGTCATACAGTCACACTGTCATACAGTCACACCGTCATACAGTCACACCTTCATACTATCACACCGTCATACTATCACACCATCATACTGTCGCACCGTCATACTGTCACACTGTCATACAGTCACACCGTCATACTATCACACCGTCATACAGTCACACCGTCATACTATCGCACCGTCATACTATCACACCGTCATACTATCACACCGTCATACAGTGACACCGTCATACTATCACACCGTCATACAGTCACACCGTCATACTATCGCACCGTCATACTGTCACACCGTCATACAGTGACACCGTCATACTATCACACCGTCATACTATCACACCGTCATACAGTCACACCGTCATACTATCACACCGTCATACAGTCACACCGTCATACTATCGCTCCGTCATACTATCACACCGTCATACTATCACACCGTCATACAGTGACACCGTCATACTATCACACCGTCATACAGTCACACCGTCATACTGTCACACCGTCATACAGTCACACCGTCATACTATCACACCGTCATACTATCACACCGTCATACAGTCACACCGTCATACTATCACACCGTCATACAGTCACACCGTCATACTATCACACCGTCATACTATCACACCGTCATACTATCACACCGTCATACAGTGACACCGTCATACTATCACACCGTCATACAGTCACACCGTCATACTATCACACCGTCATACTATCACACCGTCATACTATCACACCGTCATACTGTCACACCGTCATACTATCACACCGTCATACTATCACACCGTCATACTGTCACACCGTCATACTGTCACACCGTCATACTATCACACCGTCATACAGTCACACCGTCATACTATCACACCGTCATACTGTCACACCGTCATACTGTCACACCGTCATACTGTCACACCGTCATACTGTCACACCGTCATACTGTCACACCGTCATACTGTCACACCGTCATACTGTCACACCGTCATACTGTCACACCGTCATACTGTCACACCGTCATACTGTCACACCGTCATACTGTCACACCGTCATACTGTCACACCGTCATACTGTCACACCGTCATACTGTCACACCGTCATACTGTCACACCGTCATACAGTCACACCGTCATACTATCACACCGTCATACAGTGACACCGTCATACTGTCACACCGTCATACAGTGACACCGTCATACTGTCACACCGTGATTGGTTCTTTGTCTTGCAGGTTCGGGTGTTCACCTTCTCGGTCGGTCAGCACAATTATGACGTCACCCCCCTGCAGTGGATGGCGTGTGCTAATAAAGGTGAGTGCCGTTAGAGGGAGGAAGGCTGCGTGTGCGACGTGTGTAGCGTCCGGCGTCACCTTCACTGACGGGTCACATTGTATTCTTGACATCTAACATGATTGTTATAAATGATATTGTCTGATATATTGATTGTTTTATCATCACTTCCAGGTTACTATTTTGAAATCCCGTCTATCGGAGCCATTCGGATAAACACTCAGGTATGGGGAGCGCTGAACTCTTCTGGGGGGCGGGATTATTTACTCAGGTGATACAAAGACTGACTGTCACTACCAACCAATCACAGCACTGAGAGCAATGAAATATGATTGCTGATTGGCCACTTTGGGTGCTTACATGAGGGGCTCCCCCCATCCCTGTGCTGAGTTCCCGGGTCTGGACACCCGCTGTGCCCATTATGAGGAGCTCCCTCCATCCCTGTGCTGAGTTCCCGGGTCTGTACCCTGCTGTGCCCATTATGAGGAGCTCCCACCATCCCTGTGCTGAGTTCCCGGGTCTGTACCCTGCTGTGCCCATTATGAGGAGCTCCCACCATCCCTGTGCTGAGTTCCCGGGTCTGTACCCTGCTGTGCCCATTATGAGGAGCTCCCACCATCCCTGTGCTGAGTTCCCGGGTCTGTACCCTGCTGTGCCCATTATGAGGAGCTCCCACCATCCCTGTGCTGAGTTCCCGGGTCTGTACCCTGCTGTGCCCATTATGAGGAGCTCCCACCATCCCTGTGCTGAGTTCCCGGGTCTGTACCCTGCTGTGCCCATTATGAGGAGCTCCCACCATCCCTGTGCTGAGTTCCCGGGTCTGTACCCTGCTGTGCCCATTATGAGGAGCTCCCACCATCCCTGTGCTGAGTTCCCGGGTCTGTACCCTGCTGTGCCCATTATGAGGAGCTCCCACCATCCCTGTGCTGAGTTCCCGGGTCTGTACCCTGCTGTGCCCATTATGAGGAGCTCCCACCATCCCTGTGCTGAGTTCCCGGGTCTGTACCCTGCTGTGCCCATTATGAGGAGCTCCCACCATCCCTGTGCTGAGTTCCCGGGTCTGTACCCTGCTGTGCCCATTATGAGGAGCTCCCACCATCCCTGTGCTGAGTTCCCGGGTCTGTACCCTGCTGTGCCCATTATGAGGAGCTCCCACCATCCCTGTGCTGAGTTCCCGGGTCTGTACCCTGCTGTGCCCATTATGAGGAGCTCCCACCATCCCTGTGCTGAGTTCCCGGGTCTGTACCCTGCTGTGCCCATTATGAGGAGCTCCCACCATCCCTGTGCTGAGTTCCCGGGTCTGTACCCTGCTGTGCCCATTATGAGGAGCTCCCACCATCCCTGTGCTGAGTTCCCGGGTCTGTACCCTGCTGTGCCCATTATGAGGAGCTCCCACCATCCCTGTGCTGAGTTCCCGGGTCTGTACCCTGCTGTGCCCATTATGAGGAGCTCCCACCATCCCTGTGCTGAGTTCCCGGGTCTGTACCCTGCTGTGCCCATTATGAGGAGCTCCCACCATCCCTGTGCTGAGTTCCCGGGTCTGTACCCTGCTGTGCCCATTATGAGGAGCTCCCACCATCCCTGTGCTGAGTTCCCGGGTCTGTACCCTGCTGTGCCCATTATGAGGAGCTCCCACCATCCCTGTGCTGAGTTCCCGGGTCTGTACCCTGCTGTGCCCATTATGAGGAGCTCCCACCATCCCTGTGCTGAGTTCCCGGGTCTGTACCCTGCTGTGCCCATTATGAGGAGCTCCCACCATCCCTGTGCTGAGTTCCCGGGTCTGTACCCTGCTGTGCCCATTATGAGGAGCTCCCACCATCCCTGTGCTGAGTTCCCGGGTCTGTACCCTGCTGTGCCCATTATGAGGAGCTCCCACCATCCCTGTGCTGAGTTCCCGGGTCTGTACCCTGCTGTGCCCATTATGAGGAGCTCCCACCATCCCTGTGCTGAGTTCCCGGGTCTGTACCCTGCTGTGCCCATTATGAGGAGCTCCCACCATCCCTGTGCTGAGTTCCCGGGTCTGTACCCTGCTGTGTCCATTATGAGGAGCTCCCACCATCCCAATGCTGAGTTCCCGGGTCTGTACCCCCGCTGTGCCCATTATGAGGAGCCCCCACCATCCCTGTGCTGAGTTCCCGGGTCTGTACCCCCGCTGTGCCCATTATGAGGGGCCCCA